AGCAAATAAGCAACTGTAAGGCCAATGATCATAGGGGCACATATATTCTTTCAAATTGCTGTTTCAGGTTTCTTCAGTTAAATTTCCAGAAGTGGAACTACTGGGTTATAAGACAGTTTCATTTTGATTTTTAAATTTATTTTTTAGTTTATTTATTTCCACTACCACTTATCCTCCTTATACCTTCTTCTGATTACACCCACTCCACACACACCCAGTCACCACACTGTTGTCTATGCCCATGAGTCCTGTTTTTTCTCTTGATCCTTTCACCCTCTAACCCCTCACCCCAGAGCTGTCAGCCTGCTCTCTCTCTCTCTGAGTCTGTCTCATTTTGCTTGTTAGTTCAGTTTGTTCAATAGATTCCACATATGAGATCATATGGTATTCGTCCTTCTCTGACTGGCTTATTTCACTTAGCATAATATTCTCCAGGTCCATCCATGCTGTCTCAAAGGGTAAAATTTTCTTCTTTTATGGGTGAGTAGTATTCCATTATAGAAATGCACCACAGTGGCATTGTCCACTCAACTATTGTTGGACACTTGGACTGCTTGCAAATCTTAGCAACTGTAAATAATGCTGCAATGAACACAAGGGTGCTTATGTTCTTTTGAATTTGTGTTTTTGGTTTTATACTTTTTGCTTTATTGATGATAGCCATTCTGACAGATGTAAGGTGATATCTATTGCAGTTTTAATTTGCAATGATGATTAGTGAAATTTTCATATGTCTATTGATCATCTGTATGTCTTCTTTGGAGAAGTATCTATTCAAATCCTTTGCCTACTTTTTAGTTGGATTGTTTGTTTTTGAATTATATAAGTTCTTTATAAATTGTGTGTATTAACTTATTTTCAGGTATATCATTGACAAATGTTCTACCATTCACTGGACTGTGTTTTCATTTTGTTGATGGTTTTCTTTGCTGTGCACAAGTTCAATAGTTTGATATAGTCCCATTTGTTTGTTTGTTTGTTTATTTATTTATTTATTTTTACCTGAGAAGACATATTAAAAATATCACTTCAAAAACTGTCTGAGATTTTCTGTCTATAATTCCTCCTAGAATTTTTACAGTTTCGAGTGTAACATTTAACTTTTAATCCATTTTGAGTTACTCTTATGTATGGTATAAGAAGATAGTCTAGTTTCTTTCTACTTCTTTTTTTTTTGTACCTATCTGTCACGTATTCCGAACACCATTTATTGAATAGACTGTCTTTAACTCATTGTATCTTCTTGTCTCCTTTTTGCCAAATATTAATTGATAGTAAAGGTATGGGTTTATTCCTGATCTTTTCACTGCATTGCATTGATCTTTATGTCTGCTTTTATGCCAGTTCTAGGCTGTTTTGATTACTATGATTTCATAAGATAGTTTGGTATCAGGTATCATGATTCCATCAACTTTTTTTCAAGATTATGGTGGCTAGTTGGAGTTTTTTTGTGGTTCCATATAAATTTTTGGAACATTTGTTTTAGTTCTGTAACATACACCATTGGCATCTTTACAGGAATTATGTTTAATCTACAGATTGCTTTCCACATTTTAATGATGCTAATTCATCCTATCCATGAAAAAAGTATGTGCTTCCACTTATTTATCTTCTTCAATTTCTTTCTTCAGTGTCTTATAATTTTCCAAGTACAGATATTTTACATCCTTGGTTAAATTTATTCCAAGGTATTTTATTGCTATTTTTGATGTAATTGTAAATGAGATTGTTTTCTTAGTTTCCTTTTATGATAGTCTATGATTGGTGTATAAGTTTGCTACTGATTCCATGATATTTACTTTGCATCTTGCTACTTCACTGAATTCATTTATCAGTTGTAGTAGGTTTATGGTACAATCTTTAAGGTCTCTATATACAGTATTATGTCATGTGCTAATAATGACACTTTTGCTTCTTTTCAATTTACATGCCTGTTATTTCTTCTTCTTGGTTGATTGCTGTGGCTAGGACTTCCAGTACTGTGTTGAATAAAAGTGGTGAAAACAGATATCCCTGTCTTGCTCCAGATCTCAAAAGGAACACTCGTAGTTTTTGCCCGTTGAGTATGATGTTGGCTTTTGATTAGTAACATATGACCTTTATTGTGCTGAGGTGTGTTCCCTCTGTTCCTGAAACTTACAAAATTTTATTAACCAATGTCACCCCAATAAATTCAATAAACAGTATTTTAAAAATTGAAAGAACACCACATGAGAAGTTAATTTATAGATGGCTGAACCAAAAAGAGACACAAATAAAACTATATGTTTGCAATATGTGCTGATTATCTAGAATTCCAAAGATAAAGCAACAAAAAATGCTGGCATCAAGTGCTGGTTAGCAAAGTCACAGGAAATGAGATCAATACTAAAAATAAATTCCATTTCTACATAGTAGTAAGAAAAAGATAGACATTTGAATGCGTATATAATTTACATTTGAATTAGAAATTCTAAAATTACAGATATATATATGAAATATGTTTAAAACCTTTATACTCAAAACTTAAATATTGTTGGACTAATGTAAGAGATCTAAATGAATGAACAAAATGTACCATACCTAAGTATTACAAGACAATATCATCAAGTTTTTAAATCTTGTCAAATTGATGCACATATTTTAGGCAACTTAATCAATATCTTTGTGGTATTATTATTGCTTTTATTGTGATTGTTAGAAAATGAGAAAATATAAAGTCCTTACAGAAGACAGGCATTGATTAAATTTAAATATAAGCTTAAATTTACAAAGAAAAAATTGTTAAGCCCTGAAAAAACTTATGTGGTAAAATGTAGTCAACTTTAAGGAACTCACATTACCAATAATAGTTTAGAAGAAATCTATTTCATAGTTAGAAATTAAAATATATCATTTACAAGTAATAATCAAGTAACAAATATATAAATATTTTATTAGTATAAATATATTCTATTAGCATAAATATATCCTATTACTGAAACAAAATGTAAACTCTGTAAATTATAATGCAAAATAAGCCAAACAAAAAAATCAGTAAAAAGAACATAACAACAGACACTATAACTTAAATATGACTTCAGAACTCAAAGCAAACATTTTTTTGTCAAAATAAAGAAAAGAATTCAATAGAATATTTGTTATATAAATTAAGTTGCCACCATATAGTGAAATGTTTGTGGAATGCATGTATCTATTGAAAAGAATAAAGCAGGTCAATATACACTAGTGAGAACAGTTTTCAAATAAAATTTACACAATGAGGAGAGGTGGGTGAGTCAGTTCATGTACTTTTAAAAGCCTTATACACACACAGAATATCTGCAAAAATATATAGAAGACATAATTGAATATTGATTTTTATGGTAATATTTGGGAGAGAGAAAGATACTTTAAACAGCATATACTTTTGTACATTTCAAATTTTGTGCATGCATATAATTTATTTAACTATAAATAATGTTTTAATAAGTAATTATTTCTTTTTTCTATCTTACTTTTTTATTCACTTGTTTCAGAGAAGTTATAAAAATCTGCAATAAAAAATAAATATTTTTAACATTTACTGTTTATGAGGCACATGGGCTGTAAGCTCTGCACAGGCTGGCACCAGACATGGTCCCCACTGGACAGAACTGCTCTACTAAGTGCCTCTGAATGTGCACATTGGGAGAGAATGGATGGGCATCATCAGGTAAATAAAAGGGCAGGTTATTGCATCGACCAAGAGAGACTCAAGGTGTTTTTTGAAAAAGTTTGTGATAGTAAGAAACCAAAATATAGAAATTAAAACCAAAATGAGATATTATTTTCAACAATTTGTGAAACACTTTTTGGTTATAATGCCCAACACCTGTGACTGTATGTAAACAGACCTTTTCAACAGTCCTGTGTTAGCATGAGTAATGGCCTTCAGACAAATTTTCATAAAGCAGAACAATAGGACTTATAAAATTATAAACAACTGGAATTGGCTAAAATATTAGCTATAAGCCTACAAGTGAAATACTGTGCTGCAAAGGAAACCTATTTTATAATAACAATATTATGAAATTTGTTTGCATGCTAAGAACCTGACTGTTTATGTTTCTGGACACACTTTCCAAAAGACACAGCGCACAGAGGCCCACATACATTGCAACGGTACCCTAAGTATATCAGGCTAAAAGTTCAGAATAGCTTTGTCTTGAAGTCAGGGCTCTCTCTCTCTCTCTCTGCCTACTTACATATTTTCCAAATGTTCTGTAGTAAAAATATGTGACATTTTAAAAATAAAATCTATAACAGAACGTTTAAAAGCTTGATTCTGATCTGGCAAAAACATACACCCACAATAATAATGAGAAAACATAGTTTCTATTTTGAGCCCTGTTCCTATAAGATAATGTTTTAAAGCATTTCTTTTCTGTTTGGGGTGGGCTGAAGAGACCACTTCAGACTTGAGATTTGTTGGCGTCTTATGTAAACTAAAGAACATGCGTTGGACTCTTGTGTGATCTTGGACTCATATGGGGCTCCATTTCTCGCCAGAGCCCAGCCTGGCCTGCAGGGGCCAGACTGTCTTTATGCCCATGGACAGTGCTACATGCCTAGCTCTCTGCAAGGACAGACTACCTTTCCTGTCTCCGAGTCTGTTTCCATATCTGAAGTGGTGCCAGACCCAAAACTATTTAACAAAATACTGCTCATGAAAGTGATTAGAATACATTTATCTTAATGATGTGTACATAAAATATAAATTTATAAATTACAATTAACATAAACTATATGTAAACAGAAATGCAGATTGTATGCCCAGAAAATGGAAATTTGTAATACCTACTGAGAAAAGGAAGTAAATTACAGAAGCTACATTTTCATAAAGAAAAGATTTGATGTGCTTGCAAATGGAACATAAAAGGCCAGTATATATTTTTTTTTATCTTACAGAAGCAATTTTAAGAATAAACAGAAGAGATTTACAGAATTTGATTTATTAATAATGTATCTTATTTTTGGTTCTAAACTAGGTTTATTCTCTTAGGATGGGCAGAAATATGCAAGAAAGAAAGAAAAGAAAGCCAAGATTTAAGACAAGTCTGAAATAAAATATGCACACAGACTTGAAACAATCTGGTCGTAGGGCAACAAAGTAACAGGTTTCCCTCCACACACTCCCCCACCCCCAGAGAGGCACTGGAGCCCAGTGTGCAAACAAAAGGGACATATTGCAGAGGTGATCCATACAGCTGGGGAGATAAAAGGCAGCACCGGCCAAAACAACATTTAACAACCATCTCGCCACCTCGCATAAAAAACTTGTTTTTCTCTTTTCCAGAAAAAAGCAGCATGTTTGAGTAAGTGACATATTCTTTAAAGTTTCCAATTTTAAACATCAACAAATATACCTCAAAATAATAACAAACTTTCCCTCTTTCATCTAGAAACCCAGTTTCTCATAAATATCTGTCTGTGCTTTCCTCTGTATATGTGCTGCCATCTTCCCATGAACTCAATCACAGCATCGTCTAGTCCATATTGGTAAATGCAGAAAGGTTCTCAGATGGCTTAGAAGAAATAGAACAAAATTAGTTTGGGTTTTTTTCCAAGTGGATTGCCACAATCTGTGCATGTTATTTCCCTCATCGTTACATTTATGCAACACTCAGATTCCCTTTCCTCCTTTATCCATCTCCTATTAAACATAAGCATGGGGGAAATTGAGTGGATATAATCACCCCTCAATCCTTTATAAACTTTATACAATAGCTAAGAGACTGTAATGTTTGAATGGCTGTTACTGGTTTGAGTTTGGCCTGTGATGTGGAAGCAATGTGTCTTCTGCTGTGCGCAGGAAAATCTCAGTCAGAGTGCCAAGCACCGATAGACAGGGGAGAAATTCCTGGCTCTGCCTTGTTTCACATCCGTGAATCTGGTCTCTGTCATGATCATCTTTCAAAAGAATCTCTATTGCAATACAGCTATCAATAGATATCAAGAAAACAGGCACTAAAGAAGCTTGTTTGGACAAATGTGTTGTCTCGTTTTCAAGCAAGTTTATATTTGACATGATTGTGTTAAAATATGATAGCTTGCTATTAAAGACACATGAGATGAATATGAATGTCAAAGCCATAATTGAAATTATTTCTTTCACGTAGCTCCAAGATCATCTCCAAGTTGCCAGGCTCCTTCCACTTCCTTCTCCTGAATATTTCTCTACTAAGAGGATGATACCTAGGATTTAAGCATCTTTTTCCTAACATTTGACAATGTTATCAGAAGTATTTGAAATAATCAGATTTAAAAGATGTTTCTTAATTCTCCTAGATTCAATTGATTTCTCCCTATCGTGTGCATCTGCTAAACCCTTTACTCACATTTTTATGATGAACACTTACTAAAATGAATGTCAATTACCCATTTATACTGTTTTCTCTCTTACTAACACTCCCTATGGACAGAGTTCTTGTCTCCTTCCTGTCTGTACCCAAGTTTAAAATGCAGTGCTGAAACATTCTTATAATTCCATAAATTATCTATTGTATGGTAATCTAGTTTAAAGTCCACAGTCACAACTCTGATGTGCAGAAAATTTTTTCACTATACTGGATTTAATTCCATTAGAGACTTATCTTTCTGCTAAGAAGTGGATAAATAACACCAGCATTTCAGCTTCAATATAACCTAGTCACTTCCAGATTAATACAGTTTCCTTGGGGGAAATCCTCAGCTTTCCAGGATTTCTCCTTCATCTTTCATGAGGTGACATCTGAATTTTGAAATGGCTTTTGTAATGGCAGTGCATTGGAAGTGAAAGTGGAAGAAGCAGGGCAAATGGCTGTAATGCCCAGGACTTGGATCCCTTAGTGGACTTTTTCAGTCTTCGCAGGGTCAAAGCTAACTTTCCGGTACTCTGTCCAGACTCATAGGAAAGGAGGATGAGAGGAAATGAAGAGCATGCTATTTCCTGTTTACCAGTATGACCCAGGAGTTGTGTACATTATTCTGTTTATATCCAGTTTACTGGGACTTAGTTTCATGGGTTGTGCTAACAAAAGAGCTAGAGCATATGTAATGATAACTATAGTATATAGAATAAAGAAATATTTTTCATAAAATGGGTGAAAATAATGTCTAAAAATAGTTGAGCAAGAAGAATTAATTCATCTTGAGGAATTAAATAAAGCACTTTAGAATATGTCTCCCATAAAATGAACTGATTGTTACAATCAATTTCTTTGTTTAATTAATATTTATTGAATCTCATCCATGTAAGTAATGGGAAATTATTAGACATGAAGCAAAACAATTAAAGTATCTTCCTTAATGAGAGTTACTAATTATTAATTTTCCTGTAATTTTATTACTTGACCAAAATGGAAATGTGAAGGTGAAACTTGGGATTTTTTTGAGATAGTTTTTAAAGAGCTTGGAGTTTCCATGGTAATCAGTCACATTCAATGTCAGAAATTAGGGCGGTAGCAAAAAGAAACTTTTAGTCAAGTTTCTTCTTTTCAACAGGGAAGGAAAAACTTATGTAGACACTCCCTGGAAGATCTAACTTTTTACTCTCTTGACCAGAACTGCGAGAAAATTTAGGAAAATTTAGGAAAATTTAAGAAAATCTGGAAAAGGAGCTGCTCCTGTAAGGAGGCTTAATCAATAATGGCTAGACTAACCTGCCAGCATGGAACTTCACTGACACTCTGATGAGATCAAAGTTTGTATAACAAGTGAATAGCGGAAGAATGTTTCTGTGGATAAGCAAATGCTGGGCTCTGTCATTGTTATATGATCATGATAGTTATATGATCATGATAGTTATATGATCACCTAATGCGTGGCCTTTACAAGCCTTCGTTCCCGTGTAATTTAAAGGTTATTCCCATCCCCCCTGCCTCCTCAGAAACTCACTGCATAAACAGTTTCATCTCTCTCCTTAATCCACAACCTTCCCTTCATGCACCTCCCCACTCTCAGAAGTACAAACATAATCTTGTATCTCCCGCAATAAAAAGCAGTGAATCTCCCTCCATCTCAAGGACTGATCCAGCTCTAAGCTACCTGACAGCTTTTCTCTTTCCTCCACTGTGAGGTATTTCTAAAGCGTACTTCTTACCCATTGTTTCCACTCATTTACTCCCCTTTCACTTTCTAACTCAAACCAGTCTGGCCTTGACTCCCACAACTGCCACTATAGCTAAAGCCAACCACGCTGCATGGTCTTCATATTCCAAACAAAGTCGACAATATTCTCTACGTAGGAAACCTGAGCTCTGTGTGGCGTTGGACCGTTTAACGCTGCTTCTTGTTAGGTTCTAGCTTTCTCTGGCTCCTGAGAAAATACTCCTCACTGGGTTTTCACAAACCTTTCTGGTCACATCTCATGCACTTTAATGATTTATGTCTTCTCTTTGTAAACCTACTCTGCTGTTGTGGGGACATGAATATGATACAGATTCTCCCCGTTATGAAACATATAAACATTAGAAGAAATGCCATGTATTCTGTCACTATGTTATAAATAAAACAAGATTGACTTTATTAAACCATTAAGTTACTCCATCAATGGTTGTAAATTTTAAGTCATATATGGGAATCCCCCAAAGATAAATTACCAAAAATATGAAAGACCAAGCTGATAAAGAGATACCTTATTCCATCACAGAGATATGCTAAAAACATAATTTAGAAAGTTGTTAAACATGAGTCCAGCATCAAAATAAAAGAAAGGGCCCCCCGCCCCAGTCACCAGCAACAAAGAAAAAAACTTGAAACCAGACCGATGACTGCAAAGTGACTGAATTGTGGCTCATGTGCATCTCAGTCATTCTTGAGGATTAATATTTAATACCATTGTACCAAAAGCTCTGTCCTACAGTCTCTAGAAAGTGGAGAGGTTAAAGAAAGTCACCTGGGTAAAATTCAGATCCTTAAAGTACTACTTTAGCCATTAAAAAGAAACAGACAAAAAGGGGCCTTTTTTCTCTCCAGAGAGGTGGGGAGCAGCCTCTTCAGCAGAAATGCTGATCTTTGTGAAGATCCTGACTGGCAGGACCAGCACCCTTGAGGTTGAGCCCAGTGACACCACCGAAAATGTCAAAGCTAAAATCCAAGGAGGTCATCAAGCCTGATCAGCTGAGTCTGGCTTTTGAGGGCAAACAGCTGGAGGATGGCCACACTCTCATCGACTACCGTATGCAGAAGGGTCCACCCTGCACCTGGTGCCTTGTCTGCATGGTGGCATCATGGACCCTCCTCTGCCAGTTTGCCCAGAAGGAGAGTTACAGCAACAACCTGCACCCCACAAAGGAGGTTGAATAAGGGTCTCCACCACCTCCTCAGCCCCTGTGTAGCCTTCTGCCTAAACTTCAGGGCCATCTCTTATTGATTGGAGTTCCTCTCTTATTGATAGGAGTAGTACCAAAACATTCTCTATGATCTTGGAGAAGTAAAAAAAGAAGTCATATTTACAATAAAAGAAAAGAAGGAATGCTATAAGAAATAGACTTTCTATGTCTATTACATGCTCGAGTACAGAGTTTGATTATACAAGGTCTGTCTGGAAAAAGTCCGGCCATTGTTAATATAACAAGAACAGTTTGTGTGACATCCATGTAACCTGACAGCCAAGGAGAGTGGACTGGAATGTGCATGATTCAACAATGACAACTTCACTGTACTAGTCAATAGGATCAGTAGATGCCATTGAATAAGAATGTGTACTGTGTGGCTGTCATATTACAGAGCCAGTAAAGCAATGAATCTGCATGAAATTTTGCATTAAGCTTGAACCTTCCTCTGCAGAAAGTATTTGGATAGTTCAGAAACCTTTCAGGGATGATGCAGCGAGTACAGTGCAAATAAATCTTGACACACATACTTCAAAGATGGTTGAGCATCTGTTGAAAGCGATCCATGTTCTGGAAGGCCTGCAACAAGTAGAACACCTGAGAATGTTAAAGGTGTAAGGGCTGCAATCAACAAATATCAGCGACAGACAGTGAGAGGAGTAGAAGCTGATGTGGGGATTCCAAACACTACTGTGTCTGAGATTGTGACACAAGATCTTGGCATGAAAGATGTCATAGCAAAATTTGGTCTGCAGCTTCTGCTAACAGGATAGAAAGAACATCGTCCTGCAGTTACTAATGACTTGATTCAAACCACTACTAATGAACCAGATTTCCTCAAGAAGGTCAAAACCAGAGAGGAATCGTGGGTCTATGGCTGTGATCCAGAAACAAAGGCCCAGTCATCCCAATGGAAGCCACCTGGTTCTCCACACCCAAAGGCACACAGTAAGGTCACAGCAAGGTTAAGATCACTTTAACCATGTTTTTTTATTGTAAGGAGTTTTCTATCACAAGCACACCTCTCCAGACCAAACAATTAATAAGGAGTACAACCTCAATATTCTTCTATGGTAGAGAGATGCAATACAACTAAAATGGCCATAGCTACGGTCAACTAATGATTGGCATCTTCATCACAACAATGTACCCGCTCATAGATCACATCTTGTGCAGAGATTTTTGATGAAACATCAAATCACCCAGGTGACTCAACCTCCATACGGCCCAGATTTGCTGTCCTGTGATTTCTGACTCTTCCCCAAACTAAAATCACCCTTGAAAGGAATAAATTTCAGACCATCAATCGGCTTCATGAAAATATAGTGGGCCAGCTGATGGTGATTCCAATAAAGGACTTTGCAGAGTGTTTTGAACCACGAAGGAGATACTGGGGGAACTTTTTGAGGTTCCGAAATGCCTACTGAAGGAGACCACAGTGTCACTGTCCTGTGTTGGAACAACATAGAAATGATTAGCTCATCTGCTTTTCACAAATGATATGCAAGTTTGTCAGTATTTCTATATAAATGTTGACATCAATACCTACCCGCTGAGTAAGATATCACAGACTTATTTCACTCATGAGTATTGGTGAAATAATATTTAATATCAAACATAATTCAACAGTAACTAAAATTATTTTAATATAAAAGTTTAGAAATGTAACAATGGCTCAGTGTCTACTAGATATTTTATTAATATTTCCATCTAATTTATCCAAGGAGGAAACCTGTAAGAATGTGTCTGGAATTGATGAGAATAACTTATATAAAACTTTAAAGTCCACAGCTGCTACAAACCACATAGTAAATAGGAATATGTAGATACAATGAAATATCCTTTATACCCACCAGAATGGCTAAAATAAAAAGAGAGAAAATGTCAAATTTTGGTGAAGATGTGTAGTAATCAGTATTTTCCTTACTATTGAAAAGAGTATAAATTGATATAACTTTGGAAAATGTACATCAGTATCTGCTAAAGATGAACATTTGTGTAACCTATGACCCGCCAATTTCATTCTTACATATATTACTGACCAAGAGAGTCTTAATATTTCCCTCAGTTTTTTTGCCCCAGTGTTAAACAGGTTTCTTCCTTACTATTTGATCTTGACCTTCCTCTCCTAGAACATTTACATTAGAAAACCTGTTATTTAAATTCTATCTTTGCATCTTTGAGATATAAACTTTTTTCTTCTAAAGCCTCTTACTAGTTTTACAACCCTGGGCTATCTTTCTTGAGGATCTGGGAACCAACCCCTTGAAATGTAACCAACAAGGACTATAGCACCTTTATCTTGCAGTCTCTTTTGAAGAATAGGAACCTAACTTCAGTGAGTGTAAAACTACCTCCTATTCTGAAGGTAGGCAAATAGGTGATGCCAGTTGGCAACAGATGGCCTACAATCTCTCACCTCAAATTTACTAAAGACTGCTGCTGTTTCAGTGGAGTGGAGTTTAGACTGCATTCTGGACTCTGTTGCAATGACCTTGAATACGGTATTCCTTACCTTTATTTGTCTGGTGCAATTTTTGCTTTGATGTTCCAAACAGAAATGCAAACACACCCACTGCAAAAAAAATACACTAGAAGGTTCACAGTGACACTATTCAAAATGACCTGAAACAGGTGGAAACTAGCCAACTGTCCATCAAAATATGAATGAATACATAAGTCACAGTGTATTCACAATAAACTGTATTTAACAATGAGAAAAATAATGCAGTAAAACTACAGGCAAAAACACAGATCAGTTTTTACAAACATCATGTCAAGGTAAAGAAGCCAATCGAAAGGGCACATCCTGTTTGATTTAACTCATATCAATTACAGAAACAGGTGAAACTTACATGCTTTTACGAATCAAGGTAATGATTTTCCTTAGTGGAGACAGTGACAAAGGGTATTACTGAAGAGGTTTCTGACTATAGTCAAGAGGTATTCTTTTCAGCATCAAAAAGCGCTTGTCACATTCTGTATTTTAGATCAAGGTACTGTTATATGGGAGTGTTCAGAATGCAAAGTTTTAGCACACTGTAAAGTTGTGAAATATGCACTTCCTCTATGGATATTACACTTAATGATTCTAAAAGTCACCCAAGGATCTTGTTAAACAGATTTTGGTGTTAAAATTCTAGAGATTCTGATTTAGAAAATTTAAAATGAGGCTAGCTGCGCACATTTCAATAAGCAAGAGGTCTTGGCACACTTTGAAAATGCACCACTGTTGAGTGCTGTAAGGTAGTGAAACTCTAATTACAGATTCTGTTAAAGACGGATAAGGAAAAAATAGTAACATGTTAATGAGACAAAGAAACAAATTATTAAATGCAACCCTACCAACAATAACATTTTGGGTACTTGGTTAAACAAAGAGCTACAGTTTAGTGAACAAACTGAAAAGTTTCTTCCACTTCACCCCAATTTTTTTTAAATGCCATTTTCAATGGCTGTCCTCATCATTCATTACTCGGAGTGGTGGCATTACTATGGCAGCACAGCAACAATCATAACCAACTGTTAGCGACTAAATGAAGGTTGAGCTGCATGGGACCTAGACCTGGCCTCAATTATCTGTCCCCCCTTCATCTCCGGGACTGACTTAGCCATTCAGGAATCCCCTCTCTCTTTGTACCCATTCTCCCTGATGTTGCAGTGGAGAAGGACTTGGCCAAGTAAGCTGTGAATTGATCCAAACAAACCTCTCCTCACAGAAGCTACACTAAGCTGCTCGGGGACTGCTGTCCTAGCGATGTGTACCTGAGGGCAGAGTCTGTAGGAAACAACAGGAGCACAGTTGCCTTGCTCATTTCTATCTCTCAGCAGGTGTGTTATCTGAGCCACACTGAGATGCCCACGGAAAGAAACGACTAAAGAAGGTCTTGTTTTATTCACATGACTCTCCGATGATGGGTAAATTACTGGAGTAGTTTTACAAATACCCTAAAAATCACAAGTAAATAAATTATGCATGCCTGCTGACTATAACACATCAAAAACATAGCTGACTGCTGCAGGTAAGAGGAAAATCTCTGTACTTACTTGCTTGGCTGTAGATTCATAAAGCTCTTCTTATTCCAACTTCTTTTCTGACTCCTTTCCTCCTACATTCTCCTTTACAGACTATCTTGTATTTCCCCTGTAACAGATGTTGAATTCAATGATTCGCTAGTCTACAATTTTCTGGTTTGTCTTTTGACCCACTTTAAAATTAATGGATTTGTGTTTGCCACTTTTAAATCCTCAGATATCTTCCCTGAATCATGTGATTTTCCCCCCTTTTGCTGTCACTTTGGTTTTGAAAGAAGTAAATCAATGCTGTGCCCTAAAAGCTCTGGCACTATTGTCGGTAAATATATTGCACGAGGTTACTTTTGCTCACTAACTGTTGTTTGATATAATGCCAGGGCATCCTCTGCTGCAACGGGAAAAAAGATGCTATTCTGAGCTGCGGAACCGAGGATTGATTTCTTTTAAGATGCAATATATATTTTATGTATTGCATCTAACCTTGTTATTTGTCAGATTTCATAGAAACCTCCGTTCTCTCATTTGTGTGCAGTCCAGGCCGCCTTCGGCAGAGGTGAGGAGTGGTCTTTGTCTCTTCGGTTTATATGCTGGTAAATTCCACCTTCGGTAAGTTAATCAAACATAGTTAGAAAGCTTCATGCAAGTGCTCCAAAGCTTAGCGTTAGTAGTCAGAAAGTCAATGTGGAATCTTTAACACATTTCAACCTCCCTGAGTCTATTTTTTCTCAACCATCAAATGGAAATTTTAATAATAAAGCCATTTCGTTGTATCGGCAATCAAATGATGTAATGCATAGGGAAGTGTACACTGTAATATTGATACAGAGAGAGCTGGTCAGATACCTGGGGAAGAGTAGGGAGGGGCTATAGGAAGAAGTTGCCTGAAGTAATTGTGAACAGTCTAGGATAGGATTGGCTGAGACCCTGTATGCCTCCAGAGTGCATGGAATAATGGGCCAGAAGATTTAAAAGGAAAGGAGGGCAGAGGCTGGCTCTCTGGATCTCTTCCTGGAGGATGCCTGGATGATGGTGCTGCAGCTGCTGGCATTTCACAAAGGGCGGTAGAAGGGACTCTGCGCACAGCCCAGGATTGGGCTGGCCTGGCAGAGGGTGGAAGCGTTATTCTTCTTTGGCTGTTCTAGAGGGGATAGGGTCTGAGGCAGAAGCCTGCCATTCTTCCCAAATTATGTAGCTTTTGTATCATATGTTGTTTTAGTTTGTAAACTAACCCTATAGAAATAAGATAAAAGCTAACAGGGAGAATGATAGGGGAACTCAAGAGTTAAAGATTTCAGCCTTAATTGATAGCCTTTACTGACTTTGCTGGTGGAAAGCTGTCATTCTAAAATTGTGTAGCTTTTGAATAAAGCCTCCTGTCTTTTATCACCAAACCTTTGCCTCCGGACTTTTGTCTAGAGGTTGGCTGCAGGCAGCAGGCCCCCTCCCCCCCACCTTGCTCTTCAGTAACAATACAAGGTGGAAATGCCTGCCAACCCTGCATTATAAAAAGTTGAGCAAAGACTGTATCATAAGAAAGAAGGGTAATCGTCCTTCAGTGACTCCCATTGCCTGCTATTGAGCCAAAAGTGGAAGATATATCAAAGGGGTTATTTCGATTAGCCAGCTTCTCCATAACTATATCCAAAATGTGGCAGCTTCAGGAGAAAGCAGGCAACCCACTGGTCTTGCAACTTTCCATGGAGGACAGGTTCACTTGGGATCACTGTTGGGAATACCTGACACGAGTTAATCCACGGGTGGGGCCAAGAGTCACATCGAGGGAAGTCCTCACTCCCTTACATACTAACTGCACACAAAGCCATGAGAATGCCCAGAAAGTATATAACAAAGCAGGATTCTGCTCATGCTGGCCCATTCTCAAGGCTACAGGAACACGGCTCATTGACCCAGCGAGGGAGCCTGAGTGATTCCATTTCCCTACATACCACATCTCACCAAATGAAATCCCTGCTCTTCACCACTAGGGGGACAACACATGCTCTGTTTTGTCAAGTCGGGGTTCATTCTTCAACGCCACAAAGGCTCTCTAAAACTCCTTCCACTTGCTTAAATCTGCCTTATCCTCTCTTTCTTCACTTTCAGCTGATGAATTTTCCCCTCATGGCTTGTTTTTAAGAAAATACAAGGACTTGGATGGGGAATTATACAATCCTCCACCATAAGCTTATTAACTGTGCCTTCATTCATAGTCTTTCCTATGACAGGAGAGCTAGTCCTGGAACTCCACCATCTCCCTTTCTACTACATCGGTCCAGGGAAGAGTTAAACATGTTTCAGGTGCTCCATCCTAGTTTCCCCTGGAGAGCACATCCATCTCCAACTAGAAGTGTGCCTTCATCCACAGCCGAATTTCCTCACAGATTCCATTATTGATATCTCCACTTAACATCCTACTCATGCTTCAACCCACCGCCATCTGGCCTCTTCCCACTGCACCACCAACAGCTCTTTTTAAAACACATGGGAACTTTTTAGTGTTTTTCATTCTTGATCTCATAATAGCTTTTGCTTTTTGTCATTTATCTTCCTTTTTTTCCAAAAAAATATGGAGGTAAATTTATATAACATAAAATTAACTATTTTAAAGTGAATAGTTTCATGGTATTTAGTTTATTCACAATCTTTGAAACTCCCATCTCTCACTAACTGCAAAGAATTGCCATCACTCCAAAGCAAAATCCCTTCTTCATTAAACAGTTTCTCCTGATTCCTGCCCCCTTCCAGGCCCTAACAATTACCAGTTTGCGTTTTGTCTCTACGGATTCATTTATTCTGGATATTTCATGTATCAAATGAAATCATATCATATGTGGTCCCTTATCTCGGGCTTCCTTTTTCACTTGACAAGTTTTGGTGGTTTATGCACATTGTAGTGTCATTTGTTATTATGGCTGACTAATATTTCATTGACTGTATATACCCGATCTGTTTATCCATTTGTTTTTCTTTCTTCTTGAAACACACTCTTTCTATGATTTCTGCCCCACTACACTAAATTTTGCTCTTACTCTTTGCAGGGCAAACACTTAGCATAATATTTTAGAGGTTCATCTACATTGTAACTTATGTCAGTGCCATCCTGGCATTCTACATCCATACATAAAGATTCATTTTAGTTCTTGATTAGGCCACACCCACTTTTTAGAAAAAAACAGTCTTTGCATAAGCTGTTTCTCTGTCTAGAAGAGTCTCCACCCTGATATCACGCTATTTCCATGTTGCCAGTTGTTACTCAGAGGTGAGAGGTCAAGTCTTTCCTTTCTGCCTTCAATATAAATTTGATTCTGATCTTGTTTTGGTGGTTCCACAATCTGAGCAGTTCAATCTACTATGTAAGCTGCTCTGCCTTTGGCTCAGCCCTCTGGTTTCGAACTCCACTTTGACCAAGACCTTGTGATTTTGCATCTTTCTTGAGAATAGTAAAGCACAGTTTTCTAAAACTATCTTTGTATCTGAGAGACATTTTTTTCAGATTATATGCTCCCTTTCGCTTTCCCTTTGTGCACTTGAAGGCATGTATTTAACGACTATGGTTGCGTATCGATGAAGTGACTCTCCAGTCCTCTCACTAACCCTCACTCACCCCTTGTCACCTCAAGGTCAGTCTGTGTAGAAAGATGATGCATCAACACAGAAAGGTCTTTCAAAATGTGCTTGCAAAGCTTTAAGGTTTGGAAATTTAAGTTTCCGGGTTTGTGATTTAAGAAGGGATAGTGTAGAACACTCAGTCTATTAACTAATCAAAATTTGAAAAAATAACAATTGAATACAAATAATAAATGTACTTTATTGCCAAAAGGAAGTCTTCTATAATGTGATTTATATGAAAATAATATTAATTGTACTCAACTCAAGATTTTAAGTGTTTTCAATATCTTTTTAAAAGGTGATCAATCAGAAAATGCAGAGAAAAAAAAGTTTTCTAAAACATTTTAGAAATGTTCCCAAATGAAGCCTAGTAAAAATGCTGGTAATGAACAGTAAATCAAAAGCCTTCAGTAACTATCATTGTGAAGGTTAAAAACAGTGAGTAGACTGAGAAATGATCACTCTGATTTTACTGTTTAGATACATGAAATAATATAACAATTTTATCACTTTGATAGAAAAGAAAGTAGACTTTCCCTTAAGTGATCCACATTTCTGAATCACCTATAAGTAATTTTTTAAAAGTACAATGCTTCTGGCATGTGAAGCAAAGTTAAAAGTGCTACTTTCTCTTTTTAAAGTCCACAAAAACACATTAACATATTATACACTTTCACATTTGAAAATTGCCTTATATTATGTTAGTCTCATATGAAATGAATTCTGTTAGGGTTGCACCAGGAGAGTGCAACCCTAACAGAATGTAGGTGGGAGAATATTGCATCAGTGGTCAAGGACATAATTCTAGTGTTAGATATAACTACATAACCTTGGACAAGTTCTAGCTCCGGGTTTCTCTGCCCCACATTTCCTCGCCTATGGCGTAATGAATGGGTTGGACTACACGGTCTCTAAGATCACTTTCAGCTCAAATTCAAGAATAGAATAAAATTGAAGAGCAATTGTGTTTTTTACTACAATAATTACTTGCTACTTAGAGTAACCTCTTCCTTTTGATAAAAATACATGCTCATTATACTCATTTATATGTGTATAACAATTTTTTCTTTTTACACATATGCCCACAAAGCTATCTGATGTTTTTTGAGTAAACACAAAGGCACTTACACTTGCAAAGGAGTTGAGTCTGATCTCAGGCGACTGAGTCCAGAGATTGCAGAATATTCTTTTGAGGCTGAGATTTATTAGATTAAAACTCTAAAGAAAACCTTTGAAATTTTAAAAAAGTTATTTTTCAATTCACTTCATATTTCATGCCTTTATTCATTTATCAATATATCTTTTCTAGAGGTAAATCTTAATACTTTGAATGTGTTATGTATTTATCATTTTTAGTAACAATAATAATATATTATAGCCAGAACTGTACATGAAGATAGGGTGATAACACTGTATAATGTAGCATTTGGTTTTTACATTGCGTGATTTAATTATAACATAGAAAGATAAATTATTTTGTGTGGCTAATAAAATAGTATTTTTTAAATGTCAAGAGTGACTCTAAATGTGATTTGAAAAATAGCAGCA